TATAATATGTCCAAATATTTTGGCAATATATTGGAAAAAGTAGTAGGTAAAACTGGCCATACTGTCAAAAATTCGTATGAATTTATAGAATTTCTAAAAAGCCAAATTCTTCCTGATGACTTCGTTTTAGCATCGTTTGATGTCGAATCAATGTACACAAATATTCCCATAAAGTTAGCTTTGAACGTTATCACGGAAAAATGGCCACTAATTGTCCCACATACAACCTTACCCAAAGAGCAATTCCTAGAGGGTATTAGGGCATGTTTAGACTCAACAATTTTTAAGTTTGGAGAAGATTGCTACAAACGGATTGACGGACTAGCGATGGGTGGACCGGTGAGTGCCAGTGTTGCCAACTTGGTTATGGAATATTTTGAAGAAAAAATGTTTGAAGTTTTTCCGTATAAAACGTTATTTTATAAGCGCTTTGCGGATGACATAATTCTATGTTGTCATAAGGACGATCTCAATAGTATTTACCAATTCTTCAACATGTTTTCGAGTAACATTAAATTCTCAATTGAATATGAAGCCAATAATGCAATAGCTTTCCTGGATGTTCTTGTTATAAAACAAGGGAGTAAATTTGTTACATCGTGGTTTACAAAACCTACTTTCTCGGGCAGATATCTGAATTTTTTGTCTGCACAACCTCTCTCTCAAAAAATCAATGTAATTAAGAATTTGGCAAGACGCGTATGCCTACTTACTCATCCCATGCTCCGCAAGGAAAAAATAAGGGAAGCTAAAAAATTGTTATTTGAAAATTGTTATCCCAAGCACCGTGTCAACTCTATATTTGAGAATGTAGTGAAATTTTGTTATGATGGCTTTCCCCCTCCAAAATTGTTCGAAAAAACCGAATTTGTTGTACGTCCGTACGTTTCCTCCTGCTCAGAAAAGATTAGATCCGTGTTAAAGCCGCATGGCTACACTTTAGTCACTTCTAATAAATCAAATTTACAAAATTTCCAGTCTTGTTCGAAGTCAAAAATCCCAACTGAAAAGCTGTCAGGAGTAGTGTATGAGATACCGTGTGGAGATTGTCAAGGCATCTATATAGGGCAGTCATCCCAATATCTGCATAAAAGGCTGGATGGGCATAAGTTTAATCAACATGA